TTTTTATTATCAAGTCGTATGGCTGAAAAATGTTCTAAAAAATCTAAAATTCAGAACCAATGCTCACATGAAATTAGTAACGGGCTTACATCCATATGTAAGTTGCTAAGAGCTTGCGGACTTTCGCGTAGTGGACTTTGGCAAGAAAGCGTGAGTACCAGGCACTCATGAATTTTGATACGTAAACATCTATGTCTCGAACTAAACCCGAAATGGTCCCGAAAAAGGCCCGAACTAGTTCCGAACTAGTATCGAAATGAAATCAGAAACTATGACCAAACTGGTTGCGAAATAAGTCCCGAAATTACGCCGAAAAAAGTCCCGAACTAGAACAGTTGATTCGATTTGTTTTCATTTGCCCATATCGAGAGGGCAAGGATGTTTACATATCAATAAGAATAAAAATGATTTTTAAGTACACAGTTCTGACCACTCGGTTCCCGTGAATGTCAAACTCGTTTGCTTTGTTTGCTTACTTGTTTGGCTCCGAGAGCGTAGAATACAGAAAACATATAAAACTAGCCTGGATATCTTCATGGTACCACCTCGGCGGTTGTGCATTCACTATACTAATTCATATAAGTTCTTATTCAATTTCAATTGCACTCGTATCTGAATTACTGCATTACCGATGCTCAAATTCGAATAATCGTTTACTTTCGACAAACCGCTCACCATCGAGTAGTCTGAAAATCTACTAACCGAAATTATTCGAATTTAAGTGAAAACGAATTTTTTTAATCGAATTTAATATGGAAATTCAAAAAATTATTTTTCACTTAAATTGCTCCATATTCGTGAAATCGGCACTAAGTAAAGTCGACAATTTTTTTAACTAACCTTTGCTAATTGATTAACCGATTAGTCGATTAGTCGATTAACAAGAGCTCTAATCCATTTGTGTTTTTTTTTTCATTTATTGGTCGTTTTCACATGAGGCGATTTTTAGTTGAAAGCAACAATCGCCTGGTGTAAACGGCCTTTCAACTAATCGCTTACAATTAAGTTGGTCGGCTGCCTGCTTTCGTTCAACTTTTGGTTCAACTAATCGGCTGTGAAAGTTGAATCATGTAAATACCCTATAACTAATATACCAATGTTAAATCGCCACTTTTCCCTGCCCTTTTTTGCCCTGCGATAGTCAATTTTACATACAAAAAAATGAACATATTCGCGAAACCATGGGCCAAATATCGTAAAACTGTGCTTTTAATTTTTCTCCCGGGCGTCAGGATTTTTTAAAGGGCTTTGAAATCTGATAAATACAGTGGTGGTCAAAAATGGATGAATGGTGTTTCGTTTTTAATACTTACAATGTTTTTCAAGCAATTTTTTTTTAATTTTTTATAAAAATATGGCTCATGCTTTAGCAAAAACCATATAAATCACACTTTCAAACTTTATAAAGAATTTTTAAAAATTCTACAAATTTGTATCTAAGTTCTAGCTTTTTAACCAGGATTTTTTTTTTTAAATTAAAAATTTTGTAAAACTAGTCTAGTGCGACTTTGATTTTTAAAATTTTTTTTGTTTGCTGGCGGCTTTTTCATATTTTTTTTTATATAAAAAGAGAAATTTAGGAAAACTGGCGTTGACTTTTTTATTTTTTTCTTACACGAAAAATTCATGTTTATATGGAAAAAAGTTCAAAACGCCTTCAACAACAACAACAACTTTTTATCTGCATACCCAAAAAAATTAAAAATTTTAAAGAGTTCTGGTGAAAAAGCTCGAAATTTAATTAAAAATTTGTGGATTTCCTCCAAATCCTTTATAAAGTTTGAAAGTGCGATTTATATGATTTTTGTTAAAGCGTGAACCATATTCTCATGTCCCATACAATTACTAGATATTTATTGCTATTTAAATAAGATTGAATATAAGGCCTTCCCTCACAGTTCAGCCTACCCTAATGTACATACATCAGTATGTAGGTATATATGTGTGTACATATTTCACCATTAAAATGCATGGCAGTTGCCACATTTAAAGCAGAGACGAGCCCACCAAAACATACTCGTAAGTGCATTTCCAAATATGTAGATATGTATGTATGTATGTTTGCATATAATATATACGTATGTACATAGCCAAGCTGCATGCGGGCATTCAGCCATAACACCACCATTCACTTTGAGCTTTACAGTGTATTAATTTGCATAAGATAATACCTAAAATTTGTTTTTAAAAAGAGAAACGATTTATCTTTTAAATTGTTTGGTTTCCATTACTCATTAGGTCTCAAGTTTTTTTGCTTGTAGCTCTCCTTATGGTTTTCCAACATGAACAAAAGTCTGAAATGGCTAAATATGTATTTCTGCTCCTTGATTGTTATAAAATTTTACAGTTTTTTCAACAAAGTCTCAGGATGTCGCTTTAATCGCGCCACCTAAGAGTAAATTGCCTTCAATTAACTTAATATATACTCGGCGAAAACTTTAAATACACTTTTGAATTTTCACAAATATTTACTCCTTTTGCGGATTACAATTTTGAAGCCCGCCAGGAAAATGTTCAGCGAACTTACAGGTAAACTTAAAACCAAATGTCTTCAGTAGCTTTCGAAATCAGATCTAGAAAGGAACCTCAATTTTATTTATCAAATATCAAATTTTTAAAAAAATTTCATACGTATTTTTATGTATAGATGAGATGACACACAGGTGGTTTCTTGTGATACAAATACACATCCCGGAAAAAATATAACGTCAATTAAAAAAACAAAAACTTTGATTTCTTTTGTTTTATTTTATTTAGTAGAAATCAAAAAAAAAAATATTATTTATGATTAAAAAAATAAAAATCGGATAATAATAATTAAATGTTGATTAATATTTTTTAACTTATAATCAGGGAACGGATTTTATGGAAATTGCCTTTTTTTCTGCTAAAGAGATAGAGTATATTCGATTAAGAATGTCCACGATTTAGCTTTCCCTGATTCCATATATACACATTTGATGTTGCCTTTTTTAAGATATTTGCCTTTTTTTTTGCCTTTTTTAAGGTATTTGCCTTTTTTGCCTTTTCTACCTTTAAAAAAGTGATATAGCATTTACAATTTTTATACCCGAGCGCACTTGTGCACAAGGGTATATTAATTTTGTTCACATAACGGTTGTTTGTAACAGCCAAAACGAATCGAGATAGATATAGACAAATGTATACATAAATGCTCAGAATGAATAGAGAAATCGATTAAGCCATGTCTGTCTGTCCGTCTGTCCGTCTGTCCGTCCGTCCGTGTACACGATAACTCGAGCAAAAATTGAGATATCTCAACGAAATTTGGCATGTAGGTTTCCCTTAATCCAAGGTAGGTTGGTATTGAAAATGGCCGAAATCGGACTTTAACCACGCCCACCTCCCATATAACGGTAATTTTCAGAAATACGAAAACTGCGATATTTTAGTAACTACTGGAGATTATTCACTCAAAATTGATATTTATAATAAGTTTTAGACAAAAAATAAGAATATTATAAATTTTTGGAAAATGGGCGTAGCCACGCC